TATGAGACACAAAATATTATAACGCCAATGCAGTCTTACTGAAGACGTTTTAAAGAGTGCTATTTAAAATATATACCGAAAGTAAAAGATTGACGCACTAAAGACGTCATACGAAACCAAGCAAATATTTTCTTGTCTTTTTAAAGATGTCTTTAAGACGTATATAAGAAAATTTAGACGCCAAAAAAAGGATTTAAAAAACTGGATATTAAACGTCTTGAAGACGTCTTTCTATGACAAGACCATTTAAAGACCTAAGTAAGACGGTTTTAAAGACGTCTTGTGTTTGCTGGGTAGGCTCTCTTGTCAAACCCCTATTCCGACGCTGTCCTCAGAGTCCGCAAAATGGCGAGTTATAACGCTTTAAAGATTTTCTGGCGAAGTTATTATGGAGTTAAGTAAAACTTGTGTATTTGATTTTGAAATGGAAGAAATTATTTAATAAAGTTTAGAACTGGCAGAAAAAAAAAAAATTGTTTAATAATACTTTTTATATAATAATAAGGAATAGAAAAGAAAGTTAATCATCACGACGTAAAAATATTTTATTTATAGTCAACATTTAAAAGATTTTTAACTTATATAATTTCAGTTGAAAATTTTTAAATCCATTAAGTTAATGGATGTTCGACTGAGATGTTTATACATAATAAATTTTACTTTAAACTTTACTCTGTTAACTACATGTAAAATATTTACATGTTTTTAATAGTGTAAAATTTAAAGTTACAGTTAAATTTATTAGATATAACCGTCTCAGTCAAACTTCCATATTTATGTTTGACTGAGACTGAGCCATTAAGTTAATGGCTCAGTCTCAGTCAAACATAAATATGGAAGTTTGACTGAGACGGTTATATCTAATAAATTTAACTGTTAATAAATGTTAATGATTAATATTTAAATATTAAATTAAAATATTTTTAAAATTTTCTAAAGTTAAAGGTTTAATTTATTCAGTCTTCTATTCCAAACTACTTATTTACTGTTGTTTATTTTCAGTAAACACTCTAAAAATAAAACTTTATTTTAATTGTTACTCTTTTACCAAGTTTTTTTGTAGCCAATTAGCCAATTCTAATAAGTTTTTTAGAAAATAGCAACCGTGGAAAAAATAAGTAAATCTTTTTATTTCATAGTTTCTTTGTTTACTTTTCTGTTAATAAATTAATAGTATATTATTATTAATATTAAGTTTGTTATTGTATTTATTTTTACTTTTTGTCAATTAAAATGAGGTATAATATTTATCTTTAGGCAATGAAGTGATTAATACCTGTGTTTGGCACTCTACAAAATGCAGAAAATTCTATTATTAAATATGAGACAAATATCCTCAAAATTTTCAATGTTTAAAAAAGATAAAACTTTTAGCGTAAAGGGTATAGATTTTTTAAATTTGTTTCTTAGTTTGCTTTATTATTTATATATTCATTGTTATTTATATACATAGAGAATATTTTTTTCATTTTTTGGGGGGTTAAGGTTATTTTTGTTAGATCATACTGCTACTGGCACCATGTAACCCAGTAAAACTTGCCTAATATCATGCTGCCTTGTAGGATATGCCTTTTTGAAGACAGCTGGTAGTCAGGTTTCCCAAACTCTGTGCTTGCTCTCAAAGAGGCTGATTCCAAAACAGCTATACAATATGATAGTACTAACAGTGTGTTGAGTACTATCCATGCTATCCATGAGTCAAAAATCTTTTAAAAATCCAAAAATGAATAGTGTACCAAAAAGTGTAATGCACATCAGTAATCTCATAAGTTTTTTTTTTCTTTCATTTTTTTATTTTCTTTTAACTTTTTTTAAATTCTTATAACTTTTATGTCAAGTCCTTATTCTTGCAAAGTTCACTTAACCTTTGTGAGACTAATTTAAGTTCGCTGTCTTAGTATCGATTGATATCTTTCTTTAATTTATAAAGATTCTAAATGTAATATTCACATGCTTGGCCTAGTCATTTACATACATAACAATTCACTAATTTGTTAGGTGACTATGGTTTAAATCTAGGTTTGAATTCTCTGAGTATTCTTTAATGTTCTTTAGTTTTGGAATGTTTTTTCTGATCAAGCAATTGATCAAGCTCTTTCTCTTTATTTTTTTGCCAGTATTGTTGTTGGTGGTGACTTTATTGCTAGGCTATTCTGTATGAGAGTGAATTGCCCATATTTAATTTTGCTGCATTATTTTAATTTTCTGGGAACATATATTGTTAATGTGTTGTAAAGGTACAGCAAGTAAATCCTTCAGCGTTTCCTATTCAAAGTTTTTTTGAATTCGACAATGGATATAAACTATAGTTTAGGTCCACTGTCGAATTCAAAAAAACTCTGAATAGGAAATGTTGGACAATTTACTTACTTTTTTTTTACTTGTTTTTTGATTTAGTCGCTTTTTTTTAGTATAGAGTTTTTAGTAACCTTAAAGTTTAATATTGCATTAAACTTTAAGGTTTAATGCAATATTAAAATTAAATTTTGAATATATATATATATATATATATATATATATATATATATATATATATATATATAATATATATATATATATATATATATATATATATTAGGGTGGGACATAAAACACCTAAGTCAATAAAAAAAATACCATAATAGTTTTTTCTGGTTTCTTTTGATATCTGTATTAAAAATATATAGTTTTATTGCAAAAAATGAAATGAAATGGTCAGCCCTACCTATTTAAAGACATGCTGTGTATATTTGGGAGTTAGGAGGGGAGGGGTTCAATTAAAAAAAATCCGTAATTTTTAAAATTTTCATTTAAGTGTAAATAAAAACAATGTCAACAAGCATTTATTATGTTAAAAAATCTCATTGTGAAGTTTTTCTTGTTGGAGAAACTTTTAACATAAAAGAATCAGAACAATACCTATCACATAATTGCCAACTAAAAGAACTGTATTGCAATATTACCATTACAGAGATCTTATGCTAAGAGCTGATTTTCCAAACATTTCATCAGTTAGTATAGCTTCATGTCCACTTGGTGATTTCTTTACTGCAAAATGTGCTGAAATAGGTGGTTGTCTTCAAAAATGTTTACCATGCGTCCTTTACGAGGTGAAGAAAATTTGGCAAAAAGCAGGAATTCCTTTCCTGACAAATACTGACAAGCATATCAGGTTTTTATTATATTAAAATGCTTTTTAATTTTTAGTTTAATCCAGTTTAAAATTGATATTATACAAGTAACAATTATAAAGTCATAACATTTTATATATTTATAATAAATTACAAAAGTTTTAATGAATTCTTTTACTTTTGTTTTAGAGACAAGATTGTTGACTTAAAAAAGAAAAGATTTAAACAAACACAGGAACCGTTTAAGTAAAAATTTAGTTTTAAAAAGAGAAACTTTTTCAAGAATGCTAGAAGAAATATTCGATGTAAGTCAAAACAATTGTGAACATACTATTATGAAAGATAAAACTAAAGATTTCAAAACTAGAAGAGAGGATGTAGATTTTCTTAACGACCAGAAAGGAGCGCACACTCAGAAAATGTTGGGTAAAGATAAAATTTCACAAAATATTGTAAAAAATAAAAAAAAAAAAGAAATGAAAAAAAAAACCAAAGTATAAAAGAATCCTTAAGAAAACAGAAAGAGTTGTTTACTGAGAAATTTGATGACACAATGAAAAATTTAAATACTTTAGATAATGACCAAGATGAACAGTATCTACAGCCTTCTATAAAAATTAAAAAATCTAATGCTGTTCCTCTTATAGTTCCTAAAAATATAGGAAAAGATTTAGCTCCAACAGCATCACAATATAGAATAAGTTCGACTGCACTGAGTGCAACTTTTGCTTCTCTTATAAATAACAGTTCTGGAACAACAGATGATTTTTCTATTTCTGAACGAAGTATTTTGAGGCAGAAAAAATCAAGTATAAGTACAACTGCCTGTAAAATTAAAGACAACTTTATTATATTGGCTAAGGGTAAAAGTCTTACCCTGTGTTTTGATTCCAAAATTATGGTAGAATTGAAAAAAATTGGTAAAGAAAAAGTTGAAAGATTAGCTGTGCTAATCAGTTCACCAGATCTTTTAGAATCCCAACTTTTGGGTATTTTAATTGTGAAAGATGGCACTGCCGAGTCTCTTGGGAAAGCAATCAAAAAAACTTTACAAGACTGGGAGCTATTCGACTATGTTGATTGTCTGTCCTTTGACACCACAGTCACAAATACTGATTGGCTAAAAGGAGTCTGTACTCTTATTGAGCAGTGGAGAGGAAAAGCTTTGATTTGGATGGCTTGTCGTCATCATGTCTACGAATTACATATTTTTATATTTATTTATTTATTTAATATTTCTCGATGAATTTAATAATGATTCACCTTATTATTAAAAATTAGTTAAGTGATTTGAAATAAATATATTTTAGTACTTTTCAAGTGTTCTTACTGGAGGTAAAACAAGTGGACCAAAGACTGAGTTATTTGAAAGGCTAAAGTGTAATTGGAAGTCGATTCTTGAAAAGAAGATAAATTATGATAATCTAAAGAGATTTGACTCAGAAAAAAAAATTAAATCTTTTTTGGAAAAGCAGGTTGGTTTGATTGTCTTAATTAGATTAATCTGTTTGATTATAAGTTTTAATAATAAACTTTCTTTATTTTTTATTTTAGGCTTCTGAATTATTAACATTCCTTCAAAATTGCCTCGATAATGATATATTTCCAAGAAATGACTACAAGTATTTTATACAGTTAGCAGTGGCAAACTTTAGATTTCACTTTAGATTTCCAATGGCTTCACATCATGCCAGGTTTATGGCACAGGGCGTTTATTATTTAACATACGACATTCTACAGCCACAATTTAGTAACTTATGTCCTGATATCAGGCCTTGCGATGAATAAGAACTGCGCGACGCATAAGCACGACGCGATTTTTGACGTCATTAAATTCTTTTTATTTGCTTTTCATATTTATTGACATTAACTGCACCAATTTACTTAATTACCGCAAAACTACTTTAAATCGTTTATGTAGAAATATTATTATTTAAAAATGTTTTAGAATGTTTCGTTTTTTAAAATGTAAAAACATTTGTTTATTTTCTCGACGTTTGTCACATTTTGTCTATACTAAACGAATAAAAAACATTATAACTTAAATTTAAAAAAGATTATAAAATATGCTAATATTTGATTTTTTATTCCTTAAATATGAAATTTAAAGTTTTTCAAATAATTATTTTTTCTTTTTAAAATATCAGCGAGTAATAAACTGGAAATTTTAATATTGTACGAATAAAAACTGTGCAATAGCTAATATTTTTACAAGCGATTTTATATAATATTTATTTATTTATTTTTATTTATTTTCATAAAGCGGTTGATAAGCACAATCACTCGTATTAATAAAAAACTTAAACAAATGTTTTGAATAGATTTTTAATGTTAACAAGGAATTCTATTTCTAGTAAAATAAAATAAAATGTTAGAATAAAAATCTTATAGGTATAAAAGAAATTTTTCAGCGAAAAAATTGTTCTTAAAAATTATTATTAAAAATTATTCGAAAAACTATTGACGTTTTATTTTTCAGCAGCTGTTCTTGAGCACGCTTCGTTGAGTTTCGGTAACTTTTAACATAAAAGCGATCGTTATTATTTAAGTAATTTTTTTGAGTTACTTTTTACAAAAATTTTAATAACTGTACTTTTTTATTGAATCAAGTAGAATACGTTTTGATATTAATCATTTTTTTTTTTTTTATTTGCGCTCACCAATTTTTAAAATGTTTTCTCGAAACTACTCTTAAATACTTTAAATACGTCTAACACTTAATAAATATTTTTAAATCTATGGAATAATTGTAAAACCTAACAAACCCCCGTAAAATAATTATTTAAGTTTAAAATCTAAAACTAAAAGAAAGTATTTTTGTTCAATTTTATCGACACCTTTGTTATTGCTAAATAATTTTATTAAAATGTTAGCTTAAAAGATTTGAACTTTTTTTTTAATCTGAATTTTTTCTACTTGTAAATAATGAGCATATTTAATTTTTTTTAATTCAAACTTTTATTTCAACTGCGTGCGGTTTTTAAAAAATTATTATTAAATGTTAAAATAATCGTAAATTACTTCATTAAAATTCCACTCAAAAATATCTTTAAATATACTCAAACAAAAATTTTTTTTGCTCGACGCAAATAGCCCTAGCTACACGCAAAATCGCTCTTGGACGACGTAAAATTCACATCGCCTGATGCTTTATTGCAAGGCCTGTGATATATAATATCATTACAAGAGGGAAAGCTGATTCATGAAATTGGTTCATTTACAGCACTATTTTATGTTCCATGGTTTAGCTCCTATCCCAGCCATAGCACCTTTTTTAGATCTAAAAGCCGTTAATGAAATGATACAATATTCTGAATTATGTCTTAAACCAGCAGAGGCCGTACTAAAGTCACTTGAGAAACACAATTGGTATTTAAATGAAAGATTTGTGGTTTTGTACATAATTTGCTAATTTTGTACATAATTGCATAATTTTGCTACATAAATTAGCTCTTAGATTAGCTCAAACAGCAAAGCCTACTAGTTATAAAATGGGAAAACTAAGTTCAGAAATTTTTACTGACAATGAAAAAAAAAAATAACAAAAAGAGTTGAAGATTTTATTGGTCCTGAAAGCTGGTTTTTCTTTGATTTACTTAAAATGACATTACATGAGACAGAATGGCTGAAAATCAGTTCATCAAACTGGGAAACATGTTCAGGTTATATAAGATTTAAAAATTATATCACTGGTCTTCTTGTTGTAAATGACAGTGCAGAACGTGCAATTAAACTTGGTCAAGATTTTATTGAAACTTTCCGAATCGAAGAAGATAATCAAGCTAATTTACTGGTTGTTGCAGATCATCGTCTAAAATTTCAGACAACAGAAAAAAAATCTTGGTTGAAAGCTTTAAAATAACTTTACTTTAAAAATAAATACAAATGTAAAAAAATTTTTTATTTAAAATTGCAATAAAAAAGTTTTACTCCCCCCCCCACCTCCCAAATATACACAGCATGTCTTTAAATGGGTAGGGCTGACCATTTCATTTCATTTTTTGCAATAAAACAAAATATAATCCTAAAAAAGATTTATCAGGCTACAAAAATAACCTTAAAGATATCTTTGAAATATTTGTAAGTGACCCAGCCCCCCTCATTATTTACAAAAAGTAGAAATTTTCAAAATTTCGGACTGCTGGGACCGACCATAGGAGTACCCATAAAAAAAAAAAAATTATATATTTTTAATACAGATATCAAAAGGAACCAGAAAAACTATTATGGCATTTTTTTTATTGACTTGGGAATGCTGTTTGGTTCAATACCTTTTTTTGAATTCATGGCAGATATATAGTCTTTAATTTTTTAAGCAGTAACTGGGGTTATATAAAATGAGGTAGGATTTCAGTTTTTAAGATAGTAGCTAAAGCCATTTCTCGGAGGTATTATTTTTGATGCAAGGTTTTCTGCTATTGTAGAAAAGTATTCATTTAGAGTATTTGCAATTATTTTTCTTGTCTGTGATGTTTTGGTTATTTATTGTTAAACTATCTATAACTTGATTTTAAGTTAATTATACTCTTAATTCCTTTCCAGGTGTTTTTCAGATTGCTTACATTTTCATTAAAATATTAATAGTAGTAAAATTTTTTAGAGTATCAAATTAAATTGTTTATTTGATTTCTATAAGATTTGAAACGCTGAAAGTATTCTAACTTAAAGTTCTGATTTGTTCTTTTTATAAACTTTTTGTGTATTTTATTTTTGATTTTAATTGACTTAATGATCCCAGAGGTGATCTACGGTTCGGATAGAGTTTTTTGTGTTTTTATTGTAGACTGTTTGAATGATGCATGGTAATCTTGTTGATAATTTCCAAAATTTTTGTTGTTGAATTACTGATACTTTCATTTGCTCCTTCAATAACAGGATCCCAATCTGTAACTTTAAGTTGATCAAGAAATAGTTTGTTGTGGAAATTCTTAAAACATCGATGATATGATTTTTTTTGTCTAAAAGAATATGTAATATTTAAAATTTTTTTGGAAGGTATCGTAATAAACTGTATAAGCTGGTCAGCTAGAGAATATGTTAGATTGCCAGATACAAGATTAGGTTTGTAAAAGTTTAAAAATATGTTGTCTATAAGTGATTTTGATAACAGGCATTTATGAGATAGTTATTTTAGAGATTGAGGAAGAGGATAGACTATTGCAGCTATTAAAATGTATATATATATATATATATATATATATATATATATATATATATATATATATATATATATATATATATATATATATATATATATATATATATATATTATATATATATATATATATATATATATATATATATATATATATATATATATATATATATATATATATATATATATATATATATATATATATATATATATATATATATATATATATATATATATATATATATATATATATTATTTGAGTTTTCATGCTATATTTTTCTATACAATGTTCTTATATCTCATAATATTGTTGGCTTTGCATAGGAACAGATAGTCCAGATAGCCACAAATAGTCATTAAGACTAATCTAAACTAGCGTCCGTTATTGAAAAACATTTTTGCGTACCAAAGTACTACTCAAGCCCCGAGTTGGTGGTAGTGGGATTTGAATTCGTATTGTTCATAAGTCCAGGTTTTAACTTTTCTTTTAACGCTCTAACCATCTGAGCTATACTGCCACAAAACTTTTCGACATCGAGAAATGAACCTGGAAACCTTGGTTGGCTAGCGGAAATAATCCACTCGGCCATGCTTACACTCCACTCGGCCACGCTTACAATCCATATATATATATATATATATATATATATATATATATATATATATATATATATATATATATATATATATATATATATATATATATATATTTAATTTTATTTTAGGAGTTTTATATTTTGAATTGTTTTACATTTTTATTTAAAAAGTTAAATATATATTTTATATATATTTAACGTTTTATTTTATATTAGAAGATTAGAAATTAGTAAATAAAAAGCATTATTTTTATATTAGTTTTATATTTATATGTGATTTATTGGATTCCAATATTAATGAGTATAACAATAGGGTGTGAAGAAATTCAAGTCTTATTGAAATATTAGGTAATAGTACTTGATAATAGAGTGTATAGTATTGATATAAATATAAATATGTTGGTTTGAATATAAATAAAATTTATAATGTAAATATACTGCTTAAGGGTAATTATGTGATAAAATAATATAAATAAGATAAAGTGATAAAATTTAGTATATTATTTTATAAATTAGTATATTTAGTATAGTATAAATTACTGTATAAATTTAGTATATTTAGTATAATATAAATTTAGTATGACAAGATAATGCATATATATATATGCATATAAATATATATATATATATATATACATACACACAACATATACTTAAATATATATATATATAAAAATGCACATACATATGAACATAAAACATACATGCAATACAAAACATACACGTAATATAGGCAATTTATATATATATATATATATATATATATATATATATATATATATATATATATATATATATATATATATATATATATATATATATATATATATATATATATATATATATATATATATATTTTTTTTTTTTTTATTTTTTTAACATCTTCGCTTCCAACAAGGCTGCAGGCAACCGCTAATTAGTGTTGGAAGTTACTGAAAGGGAAAAGATGAAGATTTTAGAGCAAGATAACGATTGACAGACAACTTAAAAGATTGCAAAATATATGAATCAGGAATGCAAGATGAAAGAAGCGAATTCCAAAGAACTGATGTTCGAGGAAAAAAACTAGACAAATAAGAGTTTTTGGAACACTTAGGAACAGTAACAGAGAAAGGATGAGACTTAATTGAATGACGAGT